CTCCTCTTTTTCTGGTATCATTTTCCGCGCTTTCCCTCTGGTGAGCATACAGCACTCTCCGATTCGACCCAAGGTGCGTAAGGCTGATTCTTCAACTTGTAACGGTACTGGAAACACGACGACTAAGTCGCAGGTTGGGTCGAACTCGATGGATGTCTCGTGGAAATCTAGGGGCTCTGGTGCTAATGAATCGTGTCTCCTCTGCAATCAATGTAGCCAAAGAATGATATTGAAGAATCAGCAAAGTTGGTACCTTGCTGATTGTACTATATACTGTCTACAGGTATCCGTCTCCTCTTCTCAGTCCTACTGCAAGCGTCCATGTACATACTCGGACAGGTGAAAAACCGCTTTGAGCAAACCCAGTGGGGAAAATCTCGAAAGGGGAAAACCCGTCCCTACCTACTGCAGCACTGCCTCCAACTCCCGCTTTCCTCTGTCCTAATCCGTCGAACTCGATAGAGTTCCCTCGATTCGTTGTTACCCCGTAACACTACCAATGGCAAGTGCAAACGGTAAGATCAGTTTGCGACTCAAGTCTGTATATACCAATTGCTATCTCCCACCTGCAGCTCTACTACAATACGGTACAATACAATATTATATGGACATCTACTACATGGGTTACGACAGGGTCGTAACACCTTGACAGACCTCAATGAATCAAAGACAGGTGGGCCACAACTGTTTAGTTGGCTTGACCAACAACGGTTAGCATTATGTTGTTCGTAGACTTGCGATTTGGTTGGACGACTAGAGTGACTTGCGAAGGATCTGAGTAAGTCAAGATGATGCTCAGATGAGGGTGTGTGTGATGATGGGGACAAGGGTTTTGTTGAGGGAAGTGTGTCGGAAATAAGTGTAAGTCATGAAGAGGTCTTTGTAGAGTGGCAAATAATGTTTTGATCCTTCAAGAAGAAGAACTGTTGCGGCTGTCGAACAACTATCTTCTAGCAGACCGACGGTCGACGAGCCTCGGCTAACTTGACGCTTCTAAGTCGATGTCTCACCCAACCAGGAGGGAGCAGACGTCGAAAGGAGAGTAACTACGGCGTACTTTGGTGTAGTTACTCTAACTGGGGTTTTGTTCTACTGATGGCGATGTATCTCGATTGTATATAGCTATCTCTATCTGTCTTTTCACTACTGACAACAATCAAGGATCGCTGAAGAACTTCAGCGATCTTCTCAGCTAATATTATCTATCCCTCCTAGACGTTCATCCAACCCTCTCGCGCTTTGACGTACTTCAACGCACTTCGTCCAACTTCCCTGAGCCCCGGCCATCCTCTTCCTCCTTCAACTAACTCCGCCTAACATCGCCGCACTTCTGCTCCCATTGTCCCTACCTAGCCTAACCCCGTCTAACTTTGCCATACTTGGTCTCAGATGTCCTGAGTTACGTGTAGAGTAAAGAGGTTAAGTCGTGATGGGGGTTTGGATGGTCAAAGGAGGGTCATTGTTGGTGGGATAATCGAGGTGTCACAACGTAGTTTGTGACAAGAACTACATTTTCTATGGAAGGGGTTCATATACTTTACATAGAGACAAACCTAGAGACATGTCAAGAGACATCTCAGGATGTCTCGTAGAGATGTCTTGTGATCTTCTCAATCTATTCTCTTGCTTCATGTCTTGTGTTCTCATGCTAATCTCATCTTTCCCTGAATGTCTCCTAGAGATACCAAAGAGATATCTTAGAGATGTCTCGTGCCTTGGGCTGATCTCGTATGTATCTCATAGGGTTGCCTCATGCCTCATAGAGATCTTGTATGTATCTCATAGAGATGACTCATGTCTCATAGAGATCTTGTGTGTATCTCATAAAGATGTCTCATGTCTCCTAGAGATCCCATGGAGATACCCTGTCTCATGTTGTTCTCAGTGGCTTGTGGCTTGAGAATGCGAGAAAATGAGATCAGCTCTTGGTATGATATGGGTTATGACCCTAGGGCATTATCCGGGTCGTAACAACAACCCCGCCTAGCAGAGGACCACGGCAAAGTTGGGAGATGGAGATTAAGGGATGCAGAGTAGAGTGGAGGGAGCAAGACGAAGTGCGGCTAAGTTAGTGCAGTAGGATATCGAGGATATGGCGAGGTACGGTGAAGTTGATCGAAGAGGACTAAGCGTGAGGCTATGCAGGAGTTGAGGGATGTTCTATGGGTAGAGAGGAGAAGGATAGATAGTTTACAGATTGCTGAACTTCTTCAGCAATCCTTGATTGTTGTCAGTAGTGAGAGATATATTCAGTAGCGACAACCATTGAGTTAAGGGGAGCTACCATTCAGCAGTTTGACGCACCACGGCGAAGTTAGCCGCAGTTCATGGATGATCCCCTTATTGTTTACCACTAGACGTATTACTACGGCGTAGTTAGCCGTAGTTCTCCAACGAGTACCCTGTCTCGGTGAGACATCAACACCCCACAACAATGTAGTTGTCACAAAGCGTGTGACAAGTCGAGCGAATGTCGGGGAAGGGTATTTAACCAGCGATTGGTGGTAGGGTTAACCGCCAATTAATAGGCCTTTTCGTCACAGTGTTTAACAACACTGTCACGTTGGGTACTGTTATATCGTGCATATGCTGGTCAGTATGTCTCGTGACAGTTGTTAGCCGAGGTTTGTCAACCGTCGGTCAGTAGAGAGAAGGAACAATTATTGTGACAGGGAGCAGCAATATTGCTAGCCTATGTCTATGATCTAGTATTAGCCACAAAATCGAAGGAAGAAGCAAAGAAAATTTTGATGGACTAGGAAAAGGGTGGATAATAACCAACCTGGGGGAGATAAGTACCATTCTAGGTATGAAGGTAACAAGGAACAGAGAAGAAAAGACGATATGGTCAAGCCAGCCAGCATATATTGATAAGATAGTTCAGAAGTTCCTTGAAAACAACTTACATTGAGATAAAAAAACACCATTACCCCTCACTGCCAAAAATCCATCGATTTCGGAGATGGAAAGTGAAATTTGACCATTTCAAGAGTTAATAGGATGTCTACAGTGGTTAGCCACATGTACTCAACCCAATATATCCTATGCAGCCTCATACCTAGCTAGGTACCTCACCAAACCAACAAAGAAAGTGTGGGAGGAAGGGATAATGGTAATCACATACCTTTGGTCCACATATCTACATGGTATTTGTCTCAGTGGCAAGGCTAGCAATCTAGCAGGATGGGTAGTTGCCGATTGGGCAGGTTGTAAACACACACAACAATCAACAACAGGCTGGATGTTTATGATGAACGACTCACCGATAACATGGACTTCAAAAAAACATGCTACAGTATTGTCATTGACGGTCAAAGCAGAATACATTGTGATGGCTGAAGCAGCAAAGGAAGCTCAGTGGTTGCGAGGATTGCTGAGGGAGCTGGGCTATAATCTGCCAAATCCTTCTGTCTTGAATTGTGGTAATCAAGGATTGATATCACTAGCGAGAAAACCAGGTACTCACCAGAGGACAAATGTCACAAACCGTATTGTAACATCTCCTTACAACCACCATCATTGACCCTCCTTTCACCATCACTGAACCCCTATCTGTCATCAACCATCACAACCCAAACCACTGAAACCAACTATGACAAAGTTACGGGTACCTAGGGATTATTAGTCCCAACAACCGCGCCTGACGGAGAACTACGGTGAAGTTAGGAGACGGAGATCAAGGGAGCAAGACAAAGTGCGGCCAAGTTAGCCAAGTAGGATATTGGGGATATGGTGAGGAACGGTGAAGTTGAACAAAGAGGGCTAAGCGTGAGGCTGTGTAGGAGTTGAGAGATGTTCATGAGGAGAGAAGTGAAGTATAGATAGTTACAGATTGCTGAAGTTCTTCAGTGATCCTTGATTGTTGTCAGTAGTGAAAGACAGATAGAGGTAGCTATATTCAAATCGAGATACATTGCCATCAGTAGAACAAACCCCCACTTAGAGTAACTACGCTGAAGTACATCGTAGTTACACTCCTTTCAACGGCTGTGCCCTCCTGGTTGGGTGAGACATCGACTTAGAAGTGTCAAGTTAGCCGAGGTTCATCGACCATTGGTCTGTTAGAAAGTAGTTGTTCAACGGCTGTGACATCTATCCACACCTCCATCTGGAAAAGCAAATCAAACAAAGGAGAGGAGGCTCTCTGTCCCCCGTGTGAGAGATCTGCCAAAAGGCCCTGGGAATTGGACAAGGTACCAATCAATGCACCAAGAGAGTATACCATCATCAATGAAACTTCCAAAAATCAGTCGAGTTAACACCATAGGACGTAAACCGCATACCCTTTCTTTCCTCCGGCCTAAACAAATCATGGAGAAGAAAACCAGCCCTAGACATAAAGATGTTCGTCATGAAAATAAAAATATTGTGGTTGGTGGTGATTTTTAAATATATCGTCAGCCAGGGACACAAAGGAGATTCAAAGATTCTTGCGATTCTACTACCAAACCTGAAGTTTTAAGAAGTAGACAGGATAGAAGGAAGTTCAGACAGTCAGAAATGAGTGATCAAAGTGGAGAAAGACAAAAATTGGACATACCGTTTGGTGGAGATAAAAGTGATGAAGTGATGGTAGTGCAAGAGAAGAGTGAGACGTCGGTAGTGGGTGGACACCACATGACAGAGCTGAGCCCTAGTGCAGGGCCCCACCAAAATTCATTTCACGATTTCACCAACCACTACTGCCACGCACATAACACTCAACATTTCATCATTACTACCTTCTACATCATCACAAACCTCGCTGTCACCATCAATAAATTGTCCGGGACTACCGCAGAGTCATGCATTGTCCCGTGGGGGAGTGTTAGCCGATAGAATCAGGCCCAGGACGGCCGAACCGCTGTTAGATAATTACCCCTTCCGTCGAATATTTCTCCATTCAACTTATCCTCTGAACTCTATTCAATTGTCTCTGGTTTACTGCGTGTGAGTGGAATGTGATAAGTATAGGGACATGTAGAATCAATGCATGCTCTTTTTCCCCTCTGTATTATCGTCTAATTATCAGTAAACATTCCACAATGACAGTAGCCAAGCTTCTCCCCCTCAAAGGGTTCAAGCCTTGTACTGTTAAGACTTTGACGTTTCTCCCAACATGCATGCTGTTGTATGTTCAAACTTCCTTCAGGCAAGGAGCCAGTTGCTATCAAATCGTCATAAACGGAGAGTGCTGCTCCTACCACGCGCCTTGAGTAAAGTTCCCAAGCCTTGTGGACTTCCCCTACTTGAGTTAAACTACGCAATTGTGCACTTAATGGGGAATGTACACACATATGCACCCTCTGTTCTGTTCTTTGACGGAGAGATTCTATTGCACTATTCACAAGCTCTGTCATGATCATGAAAGGTTTTCCACCACGGGGAGACATGATAATAGTCACCGGAGTTGATTCTTCACTGTTGCTAAAGCGACGAGAAGTCACTGTTTGCCAATGTTTAGTCACCGGATGTTCAGAATTAGACATGTCATAGTTTTTGTGCACAACTGCAGTCACGTTATTGGATGGAGGAACACTCAAGATATCCGCAATCATCATTGAACACCTGTGGTACCAACCATCTCTGGTCGGAGTGCAAGCGCCTGGTCCGCATATGGGGATTTGCTTTCTAATTCTCCTTTCTAAAGTCAAGTAAGAGTTGCGGCACTCTTCTGAGATGTTGCTAGGAATCACACTGGCTATACCAAAATAATCATAAACCAGCTTGTTTTGTGTTGCCTGGCTGACAAAGTAAGGCCATATCTCCAGGTGAACCGGAGAGGCAACTGGAGGCAAGAGAGTTCCCCCTTCCGTATTGTTGGAGCACTTGTGGACTTTGTGGCCTCTGAAACAGCAGAGGACTTCAAAACCTTGGAAGTTCCAGAGATTTTTGCCTGGGAATGAACTTTATGTGACTTGGTCATTGTCAAAGTTGTCTGAAAGAGGGGTATGATTGCTGATAATTAGATGGTAATACAGAGGGAAAAAAGAGCATGCATCAATTCTACATGTCTCTATACTTATCACATTCCACTCACACGCATAAAACCAGAGACGATCGAATAAAGTTCAGAGGATAAGTTGAACCGAGAAATATTCGATGGAAGGGGTAATTATCTAACGGCGGTTCGGCCGTCCTGGCCCGATTCTATCGGCTAACAGTTTGGTGATAGAAGTGGAGGAGGAGGGGCGTTTGATAGACTATATATTGACACGGAAACCATGGCTTCCACGTTCTACGTCTCTTTCCTTCTGGCCATACTCCGCTTAATGGAGCATCTAGACTCATTGGGGCTGTGTCATTGAAAGGAAAGTGTGAAAGTTCACACCCACCTCTCTATAGGGGAAACCTAGGGCAGAGTACTAATTTTGCTATAGCTGAAGGGGCGGATGGAACGCGTACCGAATCATCTAGCAACGTAGGTATCTCCGGCGTGGTATGGGTCTCCTGCCCAGTACTTGGCGGCTTCCCGATCCTCTAAGAAGTCAGCTTGGTTCGATTGCTATTTGTGTGAACATACTCAACACAATGGCCGACGGTTGAGATCGTCTATAGCATAGCTCATAAGCAGCAGTACCAATGTTTCATGTTGTCTCCCGCTGTTGTACCATCCACCTGCATCAGGGTTTCAATTGGCAGAAATTCAAGTACAGGTACAAGTATTGCACGATACAGTGACCACAAATTGCAATTCTCAGAACTATGTATGCATGTATCTCATTCCTTGGTACTTCTGGCTAGCTGCAAGAGTAGGACTGGTTTGACGTTTGGGCCAAACAGCCCACAGGAGATGCTTGGGCTCAGACATGGGAGTTGTGGAACTGGCTCAGTAGATAAGAGCACATCTTTTGTTCCACTTCCGTCTCATTCAAAACCTTCAGAGTCAGATCTTCATCATGAGAGATCCGCCAATCCCTGATAGTCTCCATAGCAGCACCAACATACCTGCAGAGAATGCGGTGTTTAGTGTCGTAAGTGGCTTTAGAAGTTTCTGCATTGTAAAGTCTCCCTTGGTATGTGTCCAGACCCACCTGAACCTTGCTTTTTATGCTTCTTGTCAATTGCACATTCTCCTCTGGAGTAGTATTAGCTGTATCAACCAATTGCTCCCATCTGGAGTTGCGGACAAGGAGCCCAATCTCAATAGTTCTAGGTTTTGACGTATGGGTGTTTGCCAATGAACGGTAAAGGGAGACCTCCCTGACAAAGTGTCGGTAGACTGAGGTTGGACCTGTGTCCAACTTGTTGTGCTCCAGGTACAAAGAAACAGCGCACCCGCTGTATTCTGGTGTACGCCGACATACCACAATAGCTTGCTTATAAGTGTCCAGCCATTCTTCCACCGAGACCGGGAGTGATCCACTCTTAAGTTGGCGCCCAGTCCGCACAATTTCTCTGCCAAATTTCTCAAGTTTGGTGTCCTGCTCAATGGTCAATGGCCCACCCTTCCAGGTGACAGCAGAAGCAACTTCGAAGGGGTTGAAGTGCACGTAAGGCGTGGCGCATAGAGTTTGGTACGGTGAGTCGGTTGGTCCATAGTGCAGATCAGCTTGCATTAATGTCAGAGAGTTATGTATACTAAATAGATCAAATACAAAGATCTAGAAACCACCCTTTCTGTATAAACTGGTGGGTGGCAAATTGTTCACACACCGCTCCTTTCTGAATTTTCCATTTGAAACGGAGAAATAGCTATGCTTGTGGCAGAGTTAGTGTGTGGCGCACAGCCCTGTTGGAAGGTGGGTGGGGCACATCCTACATCACTGATTCTGCGCAGCAATAGGAGTGAAGTCAAGGGTGTTATTGTACAATTCCGTGCAGAGCGCCTGTCCCGTTGGGTTAGTACTTTTGAAAGTCATGATGAAACAAGCTAAAGTAGCAAACTCAAGAACACAAAATGGTGGAAGACAGGGAGGATACTTAGTAGCACAGTTCATACAGCTAGGGGCATGCATGATCACTTGGCTGAGACTATACCGGACATAAGATATAATTTGCAGGGAGATTTCTAAGACCGGACATTCCATGTAAGATGTTAGGTGACGGAAGGAAGACCGTGACCCTTCGAAGCTCTGCCGGGGAGGTCGTGACAGACTGAAGATCCGTGCTGCTTCAAAGTGGCATGACCATTTGGGCCATGTGTTACGGAGTAACAATGAATCGAGAGAACTCCATCGAGTTCGACGGATTAGGAAAGAGAACGGCGAGAGTTGGAAGCAGTGCTGCAGTAGGTAGGGACGGGTTTTCCCTTTTCGAGATTTCCCCACTGGGTTTGCTCAAAAGCGGTTTTTCACCTGTCCGAGTATGTACATAGACGCTTGCAGTAGGAACTGAGAGGAGGACACGGACACCTGTAGACAATATATAGTACAATCAGCAAAGTACCAACTTTGCTGATTCTTCAATATCATTCTTTGGCTACATCGATTGCAGAGGAGACACGATCCATTAGCACCAGAGACACATAGATTTCTACGAGAGTTCCATCGACTTCGACCCAACCTGCGACCTAGTCATCGTGTTTCCAGTACCGTTACAAGTTGAAGAATCAGCCTTACGCGCCTTGGGTCGAAGTGGAAAGGATTGCATGCTTACCAGAGGAAAGGCGAGGAAAATGATACCTGGAGAGGAGGGTCTGGAACAAGGGCTGGGCCCAGAGGTAGAAACACCAACAAGTTCTTCGAGAACTACCATTTCACATGATCTTCCTCATAGCACCCCTACCACAGATCCGTTGAATGAATTAGCCAATCAGTTGTCACAATTGCTAGCCATCATGACTATGCAACTGAAGGAACAGAACGCATTAAAAGAAGAATTAGCTACAATAAAGGCTGACCAACAGAACCAGGTACTCGCTCCAAGGAAAGCAACTTCGATCGAACTCGAAGAAACCAAACCGTCTCTGGATCAAAGAGTACTCCACAACGAACGACTTGGAAGAACCAGGTGTGCAGATCCACCCACCTTTAGTGGGGAACGTGGCGAACTTGACAACTTCCTGGCAGCCTGCCATATGAACTTCGAATTCAAAGGGGCCGAGTACACTACGGACCGCAGGAAAATCCTGTTCATGTACGGGTACCTTCGAGGTACTCCTCAAATGCTCTTGACCCCGGCCATAACCAATCCAAGTATATGGAATTCGACCGAATGGTTAGAGAGCTACGACAAATTCGTGCAACACTTACGAACTCAATTTGGAGACAGTAACATGGCAGGTACGGCTATGAGGAAATTGCAAGAGTTAAGACAGACTGATACGGCGGCCGAGTACTTCGCCAACTTTGAACTTTGGTCAACTCATCTTGGGAAGGTACCAGATGCAATGAAAATCGCATCAGCCATACAGGGTCTGAAAGAAGAACTACTGAAGGTGGTAGTAGTAAATAACACCGATCCTCGAACCAAATCGGATTGGATCTACTTCAAACAACATGTCATTGGGACCGAAGAAAATCAACGGATGGCTGAGACTATGATTGCAGCGAATCGATGGGCTGCTAGGCGTAAAAATGAAACGACCTGGGTCCCTTCACGATCGAGTTCGACACGACTGGATAGTAGTCCTTCGAACTCCTTGGAACGAACACCACATTCAACCGGTAGAGGACCCTTGCCAGGTGGAAAACCAGGGATGATGAACTTTGGCCTACCCAGCGACCCCCCGGTCACATGGACTGAGGATGGGGGACGCCTCAGCGAGAATGAAATGAACTGGAGAAGAGAGAACCGACACTGCCTCAAATGTAGAAGTCCAGAACATTATGCCAACAACTGTCCAAATGGAGGAAACACGAGAAATAGTATTAGGGGATCCCCAAATCCGCATAGCTCACCAATTCCTAGTGGATCGAACTCGATCCCAACTGGATCCAAAGGGCCATTAGTTCGAGGAATGGCAGTGACCTTTGAAGAAGAGGGAAACGACTACCTGGCCTAAGTGATGCGACCACTTGCGGCCAGGATCTACCCGGATCGCAGAAAATTCAGATACCAATAGATCTCAGTAATGATTCGGCCATAATATATATAAAAATACAAACAAAGGAAGATACCATACAGATTGGAATGTTAATCGATACCGGAGCTACAGGAAGATATGTGCAGCCGGCCTGTCCATTATATCATCTATTCCCAAAGAAACAATATCAAGTACCAAGGAAGATTAGGTTTCTGGACGGAACTACCGCGACTTTAGTGACCGAATATGTAGAAGCAGAATTAGATCTAGGAAAAGGACTCAGGATTGCAACTCGACTGAATGTTATGGCATACGAAGGACCAGAAGTACTAGTAGGACTAGATTTCTTGAGACAGTTTAGAGCAAGGATCGATTGTGGAAAGGGACTGATCGAATTCGACGGGATTGGACTAGATACTGGTTGGAAATATCCAAGATTAGAGGAAGGATTAATAAGAGGAGCAACACTGGAGAAAGGGGAGGTCGAAATGAGTGAGGAGGAACTACGACAAATCATACCGACACAATGGCACCAGTACCTCGAATTATTCAAGGTAGAAAGAGCAAGAAGACTACCACCAAGAAGAGAATGTGACCACGAGATCGAATTAGTAGCAGGGGCTGAACTGAAACCAGGACCAATCTACCAGCTGGACGAGCATGGGGATGCTTTCCTGAAGCAGTGGATCAATGATGGACTAACTAGTGGACATCTGCGAAGAAGTAAATCGCCCTATGGGTCCCCAGTATTCCTGGTCCCCAAGAAAGGAGTCATTCCCTATCGAGTAGTTACAGATTACCGGGCACTTAACAAGGTAACCATCAAGGATTCGTACCCAATGCCACTTATCTCGACCTTACTCGATCGACTCCAATTGGGAAAGGTGTTTACCAAACTCGACCTGAAAGGGGCCTACCAACTAGTCAGAATAAAAGAAGGAGATGAACATAAAGCTGCTCTACGAACACGACATGGTAGCTTTGAAAGCACTGTTCTAAGGGATGGATTATGCAACGCACCAGCCACATTTCAAAACTTCCTGCAGGATATGTTCCACGACCTGTTAGATGAAGGAGTGGTAGTTTACATAGACGACATCACGGTATACTCAGACACGATCGAAAACAATCAGATAATTGTCCAAAAGGTATTAGACCGATTACTTGAAAACGACTTGGTCGTTAGCCCGAGGAAGTGTGAATGGAGTTGCGACGAAGTGAAGTTTCTGGGGTATGTAATCGGACACAAAAGAATCGAAATGGATCAAGACAAGGTGAAAGCCATTCTAGAATGGGGAGAACCAATGACAGTCCGAGATACTCAAGTTTTTCTAGGATTTGCCAATTTCTATTGACGATTCATCAAAGGATTCTCACATATTGTGGGTCCTCTCACCCGTCTGACCAGGAAGGATCAGACTTGGAATTGGACAGAGGAATGTCAAAAGGCCTTTGAAAACTTAAAGAAAACCTTCACGACAGCACTGGTACTTCGACATTTTGACAGAACCCGACCAACCTGGATCGAAACCGATGGATCTGACTGTGCTATAGGTGCGATAGCGTCCCAAAGGTTTGCTCACCCATCGATAAAAGGGACCATGGAACTCCATCCGGTTGCATATTGGTCTCGAGCAATGACACCCTGCGAATTGAACTACACAGTGGGAGAAAAGGAACTACTAGCCATTGTGGACTGCTTGGTAGCATGGAGACCATACTTGGCTAACAGTAGTGATGTCATAAAGGTCATTACGGATCACAAGAACCTGGAGTACTTCCAAAGTAAGCGACAACTGAATCGAAGACAAATGAGGTGGCTGGAAATATTAGGAGACTTCAACATAGAAATTACTTATCGACCAGGTAGCAAAAATGGGGGAGCAGATGCTTTAACAAGACGAGGGGATTATCACCCGGGAAGAGGGAGTAGTAAAGACCCAGACCTAAACAAAGGAAACTGGCTACAATTGCTACCAAAATACGAGGAACATGGATCGGATTCGATAGACTCAGGAACCAGACACATAGTAAGAGGAGCAATCCGGGAAGACTCATTATTTGGACTCATCAAAAACAGACTCAACGACTCAGAAGATATAGCAAACATACGACGACTAGGACTACAATTGACACAGACACATAGCACACAGGACACACAGACACATAGCACACAGGACACACAGAAGACACAGATTAGCAACGAGACCCCAGTGGTATCATGGACACAAAGTGGATTGCTCTTGTACAAGAATAGAGTAGTCATACCAGAGGGACGAGCAAGGTTAGAAGTAATGAGAGCAAGACACGATTCGATATTAGTAGGACACCCAGGAAGAGACAAAACCATCACTATGATCAAAGAGGACTATTATTGGCCCCATTTAGACGATTATATCGCGAAATACGTAAAAGGATGTGAAATCTGTAACCGACATAAGACTCATCGACATCAACCATACGGACATCTAGTCTCATTGCCAGTGCCCACACTCCCGTGGACAGATATCTCGATGGACATGGTAGGGCCTTTGCCGAAGTCGACTGAATTCGACGCAATTCTAGTAATAGTGGATCGATTAAGCAAGATGGCTTGATTTATTCCATGCACAACCAGACTAACAGCAAACAAGGTGGCTGACATATACATCAAGGAGATCTTTTCAAAGCATGGGGTACCTCGAACAATCGTATCAGACAGGGGAACCCAGTTTACAGCAGAGGTTTGGAAGGAAATATGTCAATCCCTGGGAATAAAAAACCTATATTTAACTGCATATCATCCTCAAACAGACGGCCAGACTGAACGAGTGAACCAACAGATGGAAATCCTACTTGGAATGTATGTGAGCTACAACATGGACAATTGGGATCAACTTCTACCAATTGCTGAATTTGCTTATAACTGTTCGCCACATAGTAGCCACGGTCTGTGTCCCTTTGAAGCCTGTTACGGCTATGTGCCACACTACGACATCCATTCACACGATATTTGATCGAAGTCAAACAAGTTAGAGAAGAAATGGAGAGATATGGGAGAATTACATACGGCTGTTCAAGAACAGGTCAGAATGGCTAATGAGATTAGTGGGGAATACTACAACAGGAGGCACAAAAGCATCCCAGAAGAATTCAGAGAGGGAGAACAGGTACTACTGAGTACAAAGTATCTTACGACGGAACGACCCAGTCGAAAATTAGAAGCAAAATACATTGGCCCGTTTAAAATCATAAGGAAGGTCGGAAAAAATGCTTTCGAATTGGATCTACCTCCATCAATGAAGGTGCACAATGTCTTCAATGTGACGCTGTTGGAACCATATCCTAAAGACATGATACCAGGTCGACAGATACAACCCCCACCACCTGTAGTAATAAACGGCCAGGAGGAATTCCATGTGGAAGCAATTGTGGACAGCAGAATTTGACGAGGAAAGGAGGAATTCAAGGTGAAATGGTTAGGATACACAGGGAATGCGGCCTATGACTGGGAACCACGAGAAAATGTAGAAGAATTGGCCGTTTTTGGTGAATTTCTGGAAAAGAGGAAAAAGGACCCCAGAAGAAAGTGAGAATTCGATCAAGATCAACAAAACTGGGTTGGAAATAAATGCATACACAGGAAATATAGCTACAAATGGAGGAATATAAACACACTAGTTGATGGAGACGTTAGAATTGGCTCGGGGACGACGGGCCGAAGCAGGAATACGAATGACATTGCTAGGAAGAGGAGTATGAGGAGAAGAGGAGGGACCGGCGACTGGTTGGGAGGAACTCAATCCAGTAGGATCACCAGAGGAGGTGAGATGATCCAAGGTTTCCGAGGGAGAAGGAGGAACATAGTCGGAAGGAATGAGATGGAGAGATTTGTAAAGACCCAGATGTACTGGGGGAAGAGGAAGGAGAAGAGAAGAGAAAAGATGGATGTAAGCGGAGAGTTGAGTAAGGGAAGAGGATTGATCTTGGGAGGAAAGGGATCGATATCGGGCCGAGACAGCACAGAGTTCGTGCTCCAGGACAAAGGTAACCTTGGAAGTGACAGTCTGGGCTCCGACAGTAATACCCTTTACATCAACATCGACCAAATTCGAAGGAAGAAGATAGATACCTCGCGAAATTTGGACTCGGGATTGTTGGTTTTCACCAAACACTTTGAGGTTCCCTTCGCAGAGCACTCTCCACAAACACCACCAACTAAGTTGCATCAATATCGAACAGGTAGAGAAGGAAGACTCACGAGGACCAATACAACCTACACGAAAATCTTCTCCGCCATCGAGACGACGCTGGCAATTGGAGCAAAGCTCACCCTCGAGACGGACAACAGCACCATTCTTGTTACGAAGTCGCCAACCTTGAGCCAAGCGATCAAGCTGACAGTTAGAACTCGGTGGAATACGAAGAAAAAAGAGCTCACGGCGTTACCAAACCATTTGACAGTGGGCTTGATGGCGCCAGTCTCGCGAAAGCGATCGAGGGCTTCATCCTTCAGAGCGAGACGAACAGAGGAGAAAGAATGGCGGGCCCAGAGAGTAGCTGACAAGTCAGAAACGCACAGAATTCTATAGAAATCTTACCAATTTCCGAGTCTTTTCGAGCGTCCAGAGCCTTGGCAAGTTCATCATTGACCGGAACCTTGTGAGGGGCGTGAAAAATGGTTTTGAGTTCATGGGGAACCTCGACAAGCCCCTCTGAATAATCAGAAGGTGGCACAGGGGACTTATTACCAGGAGAATTTTGATTCTCGACGACGGTACCATGTTCGGATTCGACGGACTTGGCGGGAGATGGGTTCTCACCAGTGGCAGATGGCCCTGCCCCACCTTCGAAGTCGAGAAATTGCTCCATGATCGCGTCATCGAGAGGAGGCGATTGTTGAGCGCGAGAAGGACCGGATTGATATCGATCATTAATGGTGTCCAGAGCCCTACGAGAAGCATCAACCAATGGAGGTTGAGAAGGGGCTGGAGCTTGAG